GCCCATTTTTATTTTATTCTATAATACTGTAGTTATGTGTCACTTATATTGACTGACTGTCATATTAATCCGTACATAATTTGATAGCATTCTCAACAATCGGTTCTGCTAGAAAGTTTTTTTCCTGTCTAATAGCTGGCTATTTTTGAAGCATTCAAATCGCTGCTGATGATATTGCCTTTAAACAGCCTTACGCGATTGCCAATATGCCTCTTAACGAGAGTCCGAGTCTCAACAATAAATAAAATTATATTCACTCCTACTTTGTGGCTCTTTTGCACATGCATTTTCCTTGATCTTACTAAGCAATTGCAAGAACCTCCCTGGATTATATGAGGGTCTTCTGCAACCTCTTTTAATTTGTGTTTTTTCCCTTAAAATTGTGGGCCATGCTTTTACCTTAATGACCCTGGAAGAGCCACAGCAATTATTTAGGTTGCATTATATGTGTATGTTAATTCGATAGTCTTAGTTTTAGACGGCGAAATGTAACGATGACCTACATGTCTGATTTAGCAATTCCTGTTCATCTTTGTGGCCAAGTTACGCGTATGAATTTTTCAGGTGCTTGTCACTAGGTATGAGATGAGGTTATCTGCATCTGCTCATTATTCTGAATTTTAAATAATGCCTCTTGTATGCTTGTTATTCTTTTTCTAGACAGACAACTTATTAAATCCTAGCTGTTTTGGCAATCGATACTGGCCGACATGTGTGTTCTGGATATAATTACTTGCGTTCATATGGACTGTAATCTGAATGAACTGCTTTTTACTTATATTGAAGCATCTCTCCTAACAGGAAATATTGAATCATCTCCAGACTGGAAATATTTTTCCGCTAAAGTTTTGGATAAAGTCTCAAAATTTATCCATGAAATCAAATTTAATTTTTTAGTCTCAAATTTTTCAACAACCATTTGACTAATCTGAACTTATTTATCTATGAATATCACAATGAAGTTTTCACATCTCCTCTATTGTCTTGCCTAGGATAATTCAATGGAATATCCACTGAAGCAATCTGAATATATAGCAATTTTTATTTAGATGTTAGATTGACCAAATTTATCGGAAAGTACCTTTAAGATTTATTATTTCAACTTTCGGGATAAAAATCGCATTTTTATTCGATATTGCATTATTCATCTCTACCCCTCTAAATTAGCATCAAAATGCATATAGAGAGCAAAAATACCCGAACTCCTTCCATTTTATTCATATTTCATTTATTTATGTTTCCTAGAACTTGTCTCTGAAAATATTTTTATCCAGTTTAGTTATTGCTCACTCACTGGAAGGATCACTCGCAATACCTCAAATTAGTTGCCACCTAATGAAAAAAGATTACTATTGTTATTAGGATCTTCACCTATAAAATTTTAGTTTGCTTTTTTATTTGCAGCACCATAAGGAACGCGTTACTTCCCCGGCATCTGTAGCCGCCAAAATATCTACTCCAACTGTTGCCGTGCCGTCGGTAGCTGGAGTTGGGCCAGCGCAGGCTAATTATTTGCAAGCACGTGAGTCAGTAATGCGCGCACGCCAGCTTCTGCTTGACGTACACTGGGGTCAGTTGAGCCAGCGCATCAGGCGAGATGCGGATACTTGTCATCGCCGTTTCTTTGACATTTGCAGGCGACGCCTGGATGTAAGTATATACATAGTGAGGAATTTTCATAGCGTTGGCATATCTTTGTTTTCGCTACTTAGTGAATTATCTCACCGATCCATTTTCAAAGCAAAAAAAATTATTTACATATACATAGTCAATTTCACACTCTTTTTAACTAGGGAGAAATTTCAGCCGTTTCTTCTCATATTTGCATTTCTTGAACGATACCTGCCATCACCGCATTTTACTCGCGAAAGTCAAATATTTTTAACTCTTAATCTTCGATTCAAAAAAATATTTTTTCAATAATAATTTATTATGAGACTCATAGGCTTATGTGAATAGAAAAGCTTTCATTAATCCT